AGGTTGGACAGAACTGTGCTCTGGAACTGTCTGTTAGAGAGAGGTGTACCTGAGAAATTTGTTAACATCTTGAAAGCCCTATACAGAAACACCTCAGGTAGAGTGAGGGCATACAACCAACTATCACCACTGTTCCCAACCAACAGTGGGGTTAGACGGGGTTGCCCAATCTCACCATTTCTCTTTAACTTTGCCATCGATGACATTCTGGAGTCAGCTCTGAAGGATGTGCGTGAAGGTGGTGTAGATCTGCTACCTGGAGATAGACTTTTCGACCTCGAGTATGCAGACGATATCGTCTTACTGTGCGATAGCATGCAGGCTGCCCAAATCGCACTCAATCAGTTGGCGATCAGTGTCTGTAAGTATGGTATGTGCTTTGCGCCGTCTAAGTGAAAAGTACTGTTACAAGATTGGAAGGAGCCTGTACCTGCACTCACTCTTGCGGGTGAACCGCTTGAAGTTGTCGATAAGTTTGTGTACCTAGGTAGTTGTGTGAGTGCTGGCGGAGGGGTGACGGATGAGATTTCCAACCGTATAATGAAGGCTAGAGTGGCATACATCAACTTGAGCCACCTCTGGCGCCGTCGCGACGTTAGCCTGGCTGTCAAAGGTCGGGTATACAATGCTTCGGTGCGGGCTGCGCTGCTCTACGCCTGTGAAACCTGGCCTCTCCGAGCTGAGGATGTGAGGCGACTCTGCGTGTTCGATCATTGCTGTCTCCACAGGATTGCTTGCGTTCGATGGCATCATCGCGTGAGTAATTCTGAGGTTCGGTGGCGTGTGTTTGAACACAGTGGAGATCACCATTCATTGAGTGTCGTCATCTAGAAACACCGGCTCCGGTGGCTTGGACATGTGCTGCGAATGTCATCCCAGAGGCTTCCGTACAGGTCTCTGTTCGCTAGCCCTGGGACGGGTTGGAAAAGGCGGAGGGGTGGTCAATCCATGACGTGGCGTCATGGGATGAAGGATTTTTGTGCTAGATTAGCATCGGTTGGTGTGTCACGACTCCCTGGTTGGGGTCTGAGAGATAGCTCAAATCGATGGCTCGAAACGTTATCGGATATGGCCAAGAATCGTAATCAATGGCGAATGTGTTGCGATTTCCTTCTTTCTTCCATTCCCGATGATAGTTAACGAACACTGTTTGAACCTGTTAAGAATGAGTGTTTTCCTTCCAGATGAAGTTCATTATTCGTTCTCTACTTATATATATATATTTTCTTTTCCTGTCTTCCTTTTTTTTCATCTATGTTGTTTTATTATTATTGTGTGGCGCATCCTTCTTGGTGCCATATTGTACCAAGTTTTAATGCGTTTAAATAAATAATAAAATAAATAAATTAGATGCAATATTGTACCAAATGGAATAAAGCAAATCACTATTATTATCATTATTATTATTAAAGTGTAGAAAATATTTGATCAGCAGATATAATTACCACTTAGAAATGCCGACAGAATACCTGATACTCTGAGTTTTTATCTATCTAATTTAAAGTATTTGTCATATTGATAACACCTTTTTCTGTGCCTCTTCCACAAAGACATTTAATCAATCAGGAATATACACAGGATATCATCGTCTTATTCAACTACTACGTATTTTACCATATTGTAGATAATTTATGCGTGCAAATTGTAGAGTAAAATATGCGGGGTCACCTTAAAAATCAGTTATATTTTAACTTCACACATTTGTTTGTAGGCATCAGCGATTTAACAGTGGTCTGTAGTTATACCCGATTTCTCTAAAGGAAACTGAGAATTCATAGTCACTGTATTCTTGCAATAAGCTCCCTTATGTTCAGAGGAGTCCAATTATTGATTCCCTCCGAATTGACAGTAAAAATAGTTATATAACCACTATATGTAACATCCAACACAGTTCAATAAGAGATTAATGATGACCGAAATAATTCTGTAGCAGTCTCCCTGATGGTACCAATGTGTTGCGTAGGTTCAAAGGTTTGAGGTAGCATCAAATTCCTTGGTGTTACAGGTATATCCTATTGTCAAGTGTCAGATGGCAAGAAAACTAGATATGGGGTTTTTTGCCGAATACCCACTCTCCCACTATTAATTAGTGTACAACACCCCAGAGAAGTGATAATCTGCTGGTCACTTACAGGAAGTCACAATCAACATATTCAAAAACAAATACGAGCTATAAAGAACTTATAACTGATATGAAAAAGAACTATGACATGGTTATTGGATAAGAGTAAAAATCAGAGACAGTAATACTTACAGTAGATATACTTGTGTTATTTGCAAGCAAAAGACCACTAACACGATGTGGTGTTTGCACATATGGAGATCGCCTAGACAACGCAACTTGAATACTCGCTGGACCCCAAGGGATAAATTGGGCCATACGACGTTCTCGAATACGCTGCAATGACTTATGTACTTCAGTAGGATCTACTTCTCCTGAAAAAGTATTTGAATACAGTATTATCAGGTAATAAATTTATTGAAGTCAATAGGGTTGGTTCCAAATAAAATTTGGAATGATAAAAGCATAAAACTTGTGCACTGTGGTAGAGTATAATTCCATTATGGGCAAAATTTATTTTGATAAAGTCTCACAGTGTTATACGGTAATATTTACTGATGACTTTTCGAGCACAATTTATTGAAAACAAAACACGTAGTTCAGCGAAGGGTCTCTTTTCGGCGAATTCATTTTCTTAGCTGTACAATCGCAAATATATGTGTTATTTTGTATGTATGTGTACATTAATTTTGTCAAACAAAATTACAATTGGTTATGGTTATTTTAACTAAACAGGTGAAGATTGGTAATTGGAGTTACGTAATACAAAATCGGTCAAGAAAATTGGGTGTTAATGAAATTAGGGTAGTAACAAAGGTGATGAGTTGTCACAAACAGTTGTTAAAACGGAGTTATGTAATAATATGAATAGTTTGATGACTGAGTTGTACTCAGGATTCATATAGAAACAAAGTAGAGAATGCAAAATTACGTAAGAGTTCTAAATGAATACAAGAATTACAAGCAATTAAAGAAACAGGCAAACAAACAAACAAAATTGAGTCATCAAAAATCAACAACGTTGTTACCATGACAGTAGAAGTGGTAGAGTAGTTCTCTTTTGTATGCACAGCTCCAGTTTTTCTATGTGAAGTGCCAGAGCTTCAGCGATAATAATTCAATTATTATTCGAAATAATGGAATTATATAAAGGAAGTTAGAAAGTTGTGTGAGTACCTTGATATGATTATGAGCAATAAATTGTGCTCGAAACGTCATCAGTAAATATTACTGTATAACACTGTGAGACTTTATCAAAATAAATTTTACCTATAATAGGAATGATAACATTTGAGGACATAATAGACTCAATGGTTTGGCATAAATACTACAGATAAAATTTGTCTACTTGCAAATTATAAGTAGTAGCACAATTCTTTGACAATGTGAGACGGTATATGCGAAGGATATTCGAAGCTATTTTCCATTTCATTGTGCATTTTTGCCAGAGTCAACGAACATGAGATACATTTTATGTCAACGAAGAGAGGTGGACTGCTTAAATCACTAGGCTGTTGAAGTTTCCATCCATCATGATGCTTAAACTTTTCTGAATTTACATTAATAATCCCCATCTAGAGATAAAAGCAAAGATTTCAGCGAAGTAATTCCTATTTTCCACGATTTTATTTCCATAGCTGTACAATCGTATTTTTATATAAACTACAGTTAACACATAAACAAACAAAACTAATTGTTGTTGTCTATGGTAAATCATAGATGAATACGACTGCACAGCTATGAAAATGAAATAGTCGAAAAAAGATAAATTACTTCGCTGAAATCTTCCTTATTGTTCTAACCATGCAAATATATCCATTGATCACTACATGGACTCGTATACATTTTTAATTAGCTTTTGAAAAAATGCTCTACAATTCTTGAAGGAACCGAAAGAAAAACGTCGTAGAGAAATGAATCTCTCTTCATATGGAACAGCACTGCATCATATGACATACTTGTAGATCTTGTGATTATTATTATTATTATATAAACACAGAAGAAAAAACTTGGTACAATATGGCACCAAGAAAGATGCGCCACACAATAATAATAAAACAACATAGATTAAAAGTAAAAATATAACTAGAAAACGGATAAAGAACTTCATCTGGAAGGAAAACAGTCATGTTTGACAAGTTCAAACAGTATTCGTTACCTATCATCAGGAAGGGAAGAAAGAAGGAAACTGCAACACGTTCGCCATTGATTACGATTCTTGGCCATATCCGATAACGTTTCCAGCCATCGATTCAAACTATCTCGCGGACCCCAACCAGGGAGTCGTGACGCACCAACCGATGCTAATCTAGCACAAAAATCCTTCATCCCATGACGCCACGTCATGGATTGACCACCCCTCCGCCTTTTCCATCCCGTCCCAGGGCTAGCGAACAGAGACCTGTACGGAAGCCTCTGGGATGACATTCGCAGCACATGTCCAAGCCACCGGAGCCGGTGTTTCTAGATGACGACACTCAATGAATGGTGATCTCCACGGTGTTCAAACACACGCCACCGAACCTCAGAATTACTCACGCGATGATGCCATCGAACGCAAGCGATCCTGTGGAGACAGCAATGATCGAACACGCAGAGTCGCCGCACATCCTCAGCTCGGAGAGACCAGGTTTCAAAGGCGTAGAGCAAGGCAGCCCACTCCGAAGCATTGCATATCCGACCTTTGACAGCCAGGCTAACGTCGCGACGGCGCCAGAGGTGGCTCAAGTTGATGTATGCCACTCTAGCCTTCATTATACGTTTGAAAATCTCATCCGTCACTCCTCCGCCAGCACTCACACAACTACCCAGATACACAAACTTATCAACAACTTCAAGCGGTTCACCCGCAAGAGTGAGTGCAGGTACAGGCTCCTGCCAATCTTGTAACACTACTTTTCACTTAGACGGCGCAAAGCACATACCATACTTACAGACACTGATCGCCAACTGATTAAGTGCTATTTGGGCAGCCTGCATGCTATCGCACAGTAAGACGATGTCATCTGCATACTCGAGGTCGAAAAGTCTATCTCCAGGTAGCAGATCTGGTTTCCCAGCTGAGAACTAGTGCACTATGTGCTAACACTGTCTGAAATAAAGTATTATTATTATCACGCAAGGATAACAGATGTGCATTTTTGTCAGAAAACTTGAGATTATCCTAGTTTTAACAAACTTGTTTGTTGTAAGACAAGTTAGACCACGTTAGTAAATCACTTGGTTAAGGGTTGAACCAGTAGTCTGTAAACCTGTCACCATTCAGATTTCCGCATCAACTTCAGTCATCATCCACATAGGATTATGTTTCACTAACCCCCTTTAATATTCTTAGATTTTATGACGTGGAAACCTTCGGAGGATAAAGCTGTACAAAAAACATAATACGTTTAAATGGATTTTACCAGTAAATTACCAATACTGGAAAAGAGGCAATAATACACAGATGTAGTCCAGCTTAAAGATTTAGTATTACAAAAGATCATCAGTATTACCTCTTATGCAAGCCATCAGTTTAATACTTTTAAGTGAGCTCAAGAACCGGATGGATGGTTATAGTTTCTTTATTAGTTGTTAAAATCGACTAACCAAGGAGGGAATATCTATTTTCGAATAAATTTTATCCATTAAGACTATTAAACTAAACATGCAGGTATTTGAAATAAGACAAATATAAGAATTTTTATAGAAAATAAACAAAGGTGCTTATTGGAATAATTATATTGAAATAAGAAATTACCTTGTATAATATTTAATATTGAAACATAACAATGACTAACACCACGCTGTGTTGGAGTAGAAACCATCATATTTTTAGGTTGTAATAAACGCCTCATAACATCAAATACAGTTGTACGTCTTACTGTTGCAACTTCCGTATCTGTTGTCAGTGGAGTATAACCAGTCATTAAGAAATGCAATCGTGGAGTAGGCGTCAGTGGAGCAATTAAACCGATTAGATCATTGTTCATATAACTTGGATACCGTAGTGTGGCTGTACTTGCAGACATTACTTTGGAAACCTTTATTTTTAAACATGAAGTATAACGAAAACAGATCAATGTTAATAATTTACACACAATAATCTGGTTAAAAAGCGAAGCGTGACAAGGTTACAGGTATATCGGTACGCACCAGTCTGAGGTTTACAGCTATCAATACTGACAACTACTGGAGTACGTAAAGTTATTATCTGTTCATGTATTTTAACTGCCTTGAAGTAATTAGTGGAGGTCTGTCTCGACTTATAACCTCATAATGATGATTCAGTTCTTAGGGTACAATTTTTTTTAGATGAAACATCGGTGAAAACAGTCTGAGGTATTTATGCGAGAAAACCGAAGTGTGATGATTTTTCTCAGAAGATCTGAATCATAGCACACAATAACAAAATAAGGGAGAGAACACATACAACGATTGTGAACAACGCTGGGTAGCAACAGTAAGAGCGAGGAGGCGATCAAAACATAGTGGCTAGAAATTATTTATATCCATTGAAGAACATCACCAAGAACACTTAAATTATTGAAATATTTTTACAAGTGGTTAAAATAATGAACAAAACACTCTAATGAGTTTGTCTGATCTTTCAACTCTCCAATCAAAGTTCAGAAGGCGAAGCCATTTTGATGCGATCACTATGCAATGATGATTTCAGTAGCTGCTCAGAAACACTATATTGATCAGTTGAGGCAATATTTGCAGCGTGTGTTTCCGTATATTGGTCACAAAAGTCACTGAAGATAGGGAAAAACGAATCCGAAAAAGTTAAATGGATTTAAGCTCGGACACGAATGCACCCATTAAACCTTCACCCGTCGACCGGTACCAGAACACAAAAATGCTTAGTGGTGGTGAAACACTTGTCACTTCCTAATCTGAAGGCAGCGTTCTATGTCATTGATCAAGGCGTGAGGCAACAATGTAGGATTGACAAGAAAGTGCCGAGAAACCATGTTATATTAGTCAAGACGCTAACCAAACTCATGTACCAGCATAAGAGTTTACACAGAACCGTCACCTAAAGTGGCTTAATGAGTAGTGTCACTATTTTTACTTAGTTTCATTAGAGCAAAGTTTTTAGCAATCAAGAGAAGAAAAAGTTCACTTAGGTGTAGAAGACAAAATTCTTTTGTTTGAAGGCACTGAGAAAATAGTCTTCTGAACATCCCAAGGAAAAACTGTATGTTCGGCATGCGTTTTTTCCAGTTAAATGAAAGATGATGTTACTAAATGGCCTGTGCTAGGTCTTAGTTTAAGTACAGGTGATGCTTACTGTACTAAAGCTAACCCTTTTTACATTCTGTAATAAGAATGTAGTACATAGAAAAAATGGTTATATTCAAGTAGCCACTGTTGATCTTAAAATACTGAACACGTTTAGTAAAGAATGCCCTTCATAGTTATAAACAGTAAGACAAAATTAACGGAACTCAGTGGAAGAGACTGTAAGCTTACATCGAATTGAAAACCTGAGATGTCTACACATACTGAACTGTCAGAGTGATTATATTAGGATACGTTAACAGCCCATGAAGTCTTTGAATACAGGCTTAAGCAGTTGGTTTCGAAGCTGGAGTGTACAGTGCAACCGAAGCGGTTGGAGATTATATATATATATATATATAATTCAAAATAAGTCTGACTGAACATGTACTTATTCCTCATTATACGGCATTACACAGATAATTAGTTCCATATAATAAGACTTTTTAACTTAATTCAAAGTCTTCTTCCTTTACTTTTTTATGACAAATGTTAATTATTCTTTACAGAATTTGAAAAAGAATGTCACTCAACAACCAATCGCAATTCTATGCAGTTGGTAATGAATCACAGCTTTTGTGTATATAAGGACTAGTGATACTGACTGCTTACACCTCGGTAGGTGGAGTGGGATTTTAACCCGTGACCAAGTGGTTGGAAGTCGAGCACTGAGACCAACAGAGCCTCACTTTACAAAGTTTGCACACACAAAACTGATTGAAAACTCAAAAGGAATCAACGATAATTACCAACTGGTTGATTTGTGCAAATGATGGATTTTCAATGTGTAAACGATCTGTAGCTATCCGGTGTAGAGCAGTATTATCCAGAACAACCTGGAAGAAAAAAGGAGAAAGTAACGAAAATGTCAGTGTGTGCAAATGTGACCGATATTACTATGGCGTAACAAAAATAGTTGTATTCAGTGTAGTAACATAAATAAGTATTCATCACCTAGGTACATCCTGAAGCAGAAGAGTATGTAATATTTGTTTCCACTTGTGGGTATGAAGTATAATATTTATGTGAGTAGGTTAATAGGGTCCTCATAACCTGGGTGATTCATATAATAGTCACTTCATGAGCTTAGTAAAAAATATGAGCCAGAAAATATCTAACAGACGCCTAAATTAGCATAACTTGAAATGTAAGAACAAAAAGGTGGATATACACTAACAGCTTTAAAGGTTTTGATTATGTTTGAGTTATAGAACCTTTAAATCTTTGGTTTTTTATCAAATTCTTCTTAATTTATTTTTGTGAATACACCAAGAACAGAACTCCCTTCAGATGACACTGAAACATTTGACCTAGCAAAATTCAGCACTAATTTAAGCAAAACAAAGAGGAGTGTATGCATTATAATTCAGTTACTTTAAAGATAATTCTTAATACATTGGAACTCACCACACAGTCAGCATTCAAAGTCAAACGTTTCAATGTTAACAAACTGTTATAAGGTTGAACAACAACATCGCTAGTCTCTTCTAAGTTTGGGAAAACTGAATAAGTTTGAATAAGTTTCTTCGGAAAGTGTGAATTAAGACGTTCGAGGATAAATGAACCCATTCCAGATCCTGTTCCTCCAGCGATAGAGTGAGTCATAACGAAGCCCTAGTTAAAAAAAAAGTAAATCAGTTACAAGAATAGATGAAACATAGACTAGTGATATACTGACTACTAAAAAATGAACAAAGGGCTGTTTAATTCTGAGTTTAAAACTTACCGTACGCATAATTAATTTTAGAAGATTAATGCAACTAATTAGTATTTACAATGATTTGTTATGCAACATGCTCACAAATAAACTTATTGGTGAGGGGTCAATGAATTTCATGTTATTAATCGCATATATACTGAGTTCTCCAACGTCTCTCTCTAACCTAATTAATTTAGATGAACTATTACTATTCTTAAAGAGCACCAAAGAGCACGCCAGAAAAAAGTTTCGAGTCAAGATTTCATCATTTTATAATTTACAGTTTAGTAGAAGTAAGATATACGAAAAGAAATAATTAGGTCTGCATCGAACTAATTAGTATTAGGTATACAAACAAAACATCCCACGATCTGTTCGAACAGCCAGAGTAGAGCGAAGTTTATCTAAAAGACATACGCTGAACTTATTAAACATTATTATTATTCCTTCGGGTTCTAAGTGGAATTTAGGGCTTCAACAACACATCTCCCACTTTGTTCTATTTTCTGCCGTCCTCTTCAGCTGGGTCCACGATTAACCATAATCTTTCATCTCCTCCATGTTACCCTAGGACGACCCACTCATCGCTTCCCATTTGGACTCCATTCGAACAATGGCCTGGCGAGCGACGTCACTCGACGGTCTCCTAGGCGTGTGTCCGAACCATCTTCACGTTTTCCAACACATTTGTTGAGCGATCGGTTTTTGGTTGGTTTGTTCCCATAGTTTTTTGTTGCTAATTCTTTCTGACCATTTGATCTTCAGTATGGAGCGAAGGCAGCTGCTGATAAAAATCTGTAACTCGTTGGAAATCCTTTTCGTGACACGCCAAGTTTCTGACCCGTATAGAAGTACTGACTGACTTCACATTTGTGTTGAAAATCTGAATCTTTTTCTTTATGCTAAGCGCAGATTTCTAAACTGTATTCAGGTTGATAAAGGCGTATCTTGACTTTCCGATTCTGGCCTGCTTTGACACCTTCATTCACGCGGCCGCCTGTGGTTGAAACCGTGTTTCCTAGACAAGTGATAGAAGTAACCGCTGTAAAATCTCTCCCGTTGATGGTGATTGCTGCTGGTTGTTGTTGCTGTTGGTTGGTTAGTTATCTTCATCACCTCTATGTTCAACTGGAGTCTTGTCTTCACTGCCTCTTCAACGTTTGTTGGTTTTCGCCTACAAGTCTTAGAGTTTGTGTGACATTAGACGTAAATCATTTGCGAAATCCAGATCTGGTCTTTTTATCGGTGGTCCAGCGTATTCCTGTCTCCTCGCTCCCAACTCACAGTCTGACGCATAATCCAGTCCACCACATCTTATTACACAAATCAATTACAAAACGTTGACAGAAAGCATGGGGAATAATAAAATAACATAGGAAAGAATACTATTTGAGAAATTATCCGTAGAACAATGCATTTAATGTTTGGTATGAGAAAAAATATAAGTATATTCTAGTATTTGCTATTGATTTCGATAAATACTAGTATTAATAATAAATCTGTGTGCATGTTTATGAGATAACAGTACTTCTTGTTCATCCAAAATTCAAAAGGCAAAGAATTTGAACTTACAATCCACATATTGGAAGTCAAATATTTGAATTAACGTACGGCGCTACTATCCTCTTTTGGATCTGGTCGCTGATGTCTTGTAAGCAGCAGCTAAGAAGAATCAAATTTCTATTCGTTTTTTCCCAGTAAAACTGGTTGTACATTGTTATTTGGGAATAGATACTTAACAGAATGATAAATTAAGCACACCGTGATTTAAACCATTATGAATAAGTTCCTTGGTAACCGCATCTACTGGTTAGCAATCTTATGTCAATTTTTCCATAAAAAACTTAAACTTATTAGATGATCAATGAAGCAACGCCTAATGTTTAGTAGGACTAAAAAGTTTATTAGAAAGTTTTTTAATGTTAGACAATCCTTCTTACTTCCAAGCTATCACTTCCTTCAGCTTCACGATCAATAATATCAAAGACCTCTTCTTCTAATTTTTCACCTTGTGTAAATCCAGCTGCCCAATTATTTCCAGCACCACCTCCGTGTTTAGATAAATAAACATTTTCTGGATTATATAGTCGAGCATACGGTGAAGATAAGATTGCATTGATTACACGTGGTTCCAAGTCTAATAAGACAGCACGAGGAATATAATGGGCATCATCTGCCTACAAAAAAACACACGGTAAAAAAATATAAAAATGACTCCTTTTATTATAATGACTTTGTTATTTAACAGCTACTTGTGGAAAAGAACTATCTGCCTACTAATAATGCCTTTTATTAGTCATAAAACGGCCTAAATAGACTAAAATATTGTATGAGTTGGAAAGAACCTGCAAGCTTTAGTCATAATACACACATCAACTAATTCGTATAAACTTGACGCCAGGAGGTATTCTACACGAAGGCAATAAGGAAAAGAAAAATCAAATAGCTAGGGAATGACAGGATGAAAATGGGTAGGAATGGTCATTACAAATGTTCAGAAGAACATTCGTTACCTTCAGAAATAGAAAGGGGGAAAACGTTGTATATTCACCAATGGTCTCGATCCTCAGCCCTATCTAACAGTGCATGAAGTGACTGAGTCGCGTGTCATGTCAGACCGTATTCAAGGAGTCGTTACGCACCAACGGATGCTGGCCCCATGGTCTAGCTACGTTTTTTTCGACCAGTTTCAGGATTAATTAAGCAGTGAATGATATTAAAGTTTTTGGGATGATTGCATTAACACTTGAGTCGAATGTGGCAAGATAATATCACCACAATCGTTAAACTATGCATTACGTATCTCTGAGGGAAGTAACCAGTGGTTATGACAACCAAAATGCACTTAAGTTTATATTGGGAAAAACGCGAATGCAGTACTAATCTCTAACCACGAAAGTTTTTACAGTGATACGTACGACGGAAAATGACTCAGATTTAGAAGATAGGCTAGAAGTAATGAATTTGAGCTCAAAACATTTATTTCTTTAACCATTTCATTTGAGACTTTGGTTAGCCAAAGGACTTTTAAAAACTAAGTACTACTGAATTGAACTTAACAACATATATTGATCAAACAGTTTTACGAAAAAGTCACCAAAGTGCATTTGTGGAAGCAACTGAAACATCAAAATAGATGAAAAACCAACTATTCTGCTGTCCCCTTAGATTTGTAGGGATTCAAACTGTTTTGTCGAATACTTTTCTCTAGCCATCCTTTGCTTTTCAAACGTCATTGGTATTACTCTGTTTCCAATAAAGCAATATGCATGGAACAGACAAATAAAGAAACTAATGCGACTAAAACACATGATATAGGTAAACGGTTTGATGTTTTTGAAGGTGCGGTACTTGGCCACAACCGTTTCATCACCGGCCTTGGTAACAACTTTACTACTGACATCTTAATGAAGTTTCCAATTAAATCATGAGCTAAAAATCACCTCATTTGTGATATGCATTAATTTTGAAACCAACAAATACTCGCATAACAATGGAAAGTGGATTTATCGCAAATGCAACTCCTGCAGTTCTAGGGTTTTGTAGACAACACATATAAACGTACACATACAAGTTTATGCTAGATAGCTGGTTTTGTGTGACTAAAAGCAATGCAAAAGAAATTTTGCATCCAAACTCAAGGTACTCAGGCCGATCCATAAATCGTTTCGGATGTGAAAATACCGGAAAAAAAGTACATAAAAATATAAGGAATACAATGGAACCTAGTTACATACATCTTTAACAAACTTCGAATAACTGCAAAATCATTATAAAATGCTACGCGAGCGCTTTATGGTAATACACCATTAGAAAAATGCACAGTACACTAAAAACGGTGGTTAATAAAAGATGGATACAATGCATTAAGAATGAATGTAAAATTACTGCGGTTTACTTGGTAGAAAAATACATCTTTGCGGTCAGTATCACTGGTGGCAAATTCTTCAAGCGTCCCTTCAGGGCTAATCCCATGTTCAGCGCACAGCTGCTTCCAAAACTCCATTCCAACTGAGGTATACGTAATAAAGAGAAAAGTAATCCAAAAGTTAGAGGAGCAATGACGCCAGTAGTTATGCATCAAGTGAATACACAGCTTCACATAAAACTTCAGCAGTCACGTTAGACTATATGGGTAAGTTATTTTATAGTTGGTACGTGTATTAGCATCAACTATTAGTTATCATTTATAGGCAACTCTTTAACTAAGATGCCTATGTTTCCCGAAGTCATCATGTTACGCTAGTACTAAGGTATATAAGTCTCTTCTCGCCAAGAAGCTAGTAGAAAAAATAACGAGCAAGCAACCTTAAGTTGACTTTAACCTTACAAACTATAATTATCTTGAGTCGTTACCTTACTTTGTTAGCCAGGAATATTTACTATTTTTTTACTCCTGCATTTAAATTTGTAGTATATACAAATTGCTGATGACTTTAACTTGAAAATTAGTTTGGGCAGACTTGGTATGGGGAAGATTGCAGACAACCATTCAGCTTTCTTCAATGCGCATGAAGTTTTTCGTCCGGATATGTCTGAAGTGGGTCCGCAGAAAATGCTACTGTTGTTTACATTTACACGACACTCACTGTCGTTATTCCAGTACTAAAGCGTGTTATTTCCTAACCAAAAGCCTCAGGTAGTTATCAGGTAAGAGAAACCTCTAAAATAAACTCATATTGTTAGGTCTTTCTTGCTTTACCGGAGTTTACCAAAGGAATCATGTGGGTGATGAGATAGTACTTTATTCCCATTGCATAAAAAACTAGTCACAATCTAGCTGTGATTCTGCTTAAAAACTCAAAACATGACAACGAAACTCAAAGTAAACATACTTTGATTACCACATTGTCCCAACTGTAAAGTAATAATATCCCGCGGCATCGTAGCGCAACAACTGAATAAGCCTCAATTGGGACAACAACAGTTCAAAGTTATCACTGCTTTCAGATTCAGATTTGTTGACTGAGTATAGATGAATTGAAGCCTACGTAGACCCATTTTAATCAAATTTCTCTGCTTGTCCAAACCCTTCTTGAATGAGTCAATTGAGGTTGCTTTAGGGAGTCTATTCTAGGAGATTATGACTCAGTATTAAAACCAGTACTCCACAGCAATATAGTTTCTCCTTGGTTTTTGATCCCTCTTGCTATGTCGTTTGAGGTGTTCCGACCTGGCGGGAAAGAAAAGAGAGAATAGATCAGGCCTGTAGTCATTATTTTAAATTTTAAATCTCTCTGCCTACGGTATGATTGGGAGAAGAGATTTAAACTGTCTATTCTTTCCTCGTTTGATAGATTAGTCATGCCAACAGTCGTACGGGTTGAGCCCTTTCTAGAATATTTGAGTGCCCTTTAAGACAAGGACTGGTTGTCTTGATACAGTGTTCCAGTCATTACCTCCCCAGAGATGAATATAGGGAGGAAAATATATCTCTAATGATTCTGGAAAGGGCTCTACGAACTGCTCATAAGGATCTGAAGCTACTTACAGCCGCTGCGAGTCAGTGTGCTTTGGCTTTTAATTCGTGACTTACTATGACACCTAAATCCAAATTAGCCGGAACTGATGGGAGTGTTATCCCCTCTAGCGCGTAGGAGCTGGTGCTTGCGTATCGAATGAGCATGGTGGCACATTTCGCTGCGTTGACTAGCAGCAACCGTTCGTTGGACAAATCTAACAATTTGCTGAGGTCCCCTCGCAACGTCGGCGTATCACTGTCGCCCTTCACCCCTCTCCAGATTTTTATACCATCTGCTTACAAAACCATCTGAAAATCAGTGAGCACAGATAACTCATTGATATACAAAATAAATGAGAGGTCAGAGTACCGTCCCTTTTGGCATTTCGCCATGCACTATTGCTCAGGAGGGAATTTTGAGATTTGCCCCTCTGACTCCTACCTATGAGGAATTCCCTAATCCAGTCTAGAAAGCTACCTTTGATACCAAGACTTTCCAACTTCGTTAGAAGTCTTTTGTGTGGCACTTTATTGAAGGCCTTGCTGAGGTGTATAGAGACAACGTCGACGGGTGTTCTGCTGTACCCTGATTTAACAGGCATGAGAGGTTCCCTTGGAAGCCATTCTGTGCTCTGAATAATAAGTTGTCTTCCACATATGACACGATAGCTTTCTTGATGATTCTTTTCAGTGTCTTGATTAAGGTACTAGTGAAACTAATAGGCCTGTAGTTTGAAGATCAATGTTTTGGTCCTCCTTTCTGTATGGTTACTATGGTGTCTTACCAATCGCGTGGTAACACTAGGTTTAGGAGAGACAGCTTGAGGATCGTGGCTAGGGGGCTGTGAGCTGACTGTACCCTGAGAATACCTTGCATGAAGATTATCAAGACCTATTGATTTCCCTCCATCTAGTTATTTTAGGCAGTTGAGCACGATTTCTTGGTTGACGCCATGTTCTTCTGATGCGGCCAAAGTTGATCCTGTGCGGAGTGACAACTCTTGTGCAAATATTTGGTAGAAGCAGTCTGCCATTGTCTCTACTTTTTCCTGATTCTCTTCGATTATGTCGTTGTCAGTAGTCAGGTTAGTTATTTAAATGCTTAATTTATATGACTGAATTTAACCTGTATCACTTTTAGGAATGTCGAGTCGTAATGAGGTCTGTCACTTAGTTAAATTCAGTGGGAAGCAGATATAGTCGCATTCGGACAAAGAAATCCGAAAAACACTGACGAGTATTTTATGACATATGACCAGATACATTTGCATAATCAATGTAGGAATTGGTTCTAAATAGGACAGTAAGTGAAGGTAAGTTCGCTCGTTCACTTATAACCTTGCAGATATTATTTTTTTCTAGTTCGTGATACCGGATAACTTCGGATGTAGTCATATAGTTCTGTTTACTTGAATTGCGGAAGAATTTAAAGGTGACGCGAATTGGAAAATGGGAAGTCTCCGTCGAATAATGGGAGATACTTGCCAAACGAAGACTTTCATCCTTGACTGTGCAGAGCCCATACATGTTAATAAACTTGTTTTCGTTGCAGCGAAATAAACGTTTCATTCTAATATTCTTGTATTCTATTGATTCTGCATGCGGTGGAAGTACGGCATACTAGACCGGTACTCCCTAGGATATGAACTCGTTACTATATGTAAGTGTAATTCTGTAGGAACACTACCGAACGATATAAATGGTGAATTACAAGTACTTCAGTCAAGCTTAAACATCTGCCTAAAGTTACGTGAGTACGTCTCCTAGTCATAAATAAATTTGGAGGGACCAATGACAAAAGTACCTAACTTCAGTATTTGAAGAATAAGAATAGAACTTAGGCACTGCAGTTGAGTTCGATTTCGTATAAGGTTAAATGTATTCAAAAGTTGTGCATTACTATTATCTCACTTAAAGCGTGATTTCAATCCATATGATTACGGATGTTAACGTATAGTGTAAAATGAAGTCTACACGAGACGAATAGTTAAACAGGTTGATCTGTAGCAATCGTGGTAAGATTTCGCTTACGCTGAATTATGCCAACAATTACTTTCTCAAGTCTCATTGATAAGTCAGGCCCCCATCTCGTCATGATGACAAATTGAGTTTCACTCAGATACAATAAGAAAAGTATGGTAAGCACGATGTTAAATGTATTTAATGAAAAATAATAAGCAAATATCTTTACACACTTGTTTTTCGTAATTATTTCGCCGATGTTGAACTGCTGTGACCAGGTTGACTGACGTTACCGGATATCTGCAAATAAGTGAACAAAGTGTAAGTAAGAAAGAGGTAATAATGATGTTGAACGCTTTATATTTGCCTACCTTTGCTGAGAAAGGTTCATTCTTCTTTCTCATTCTTCGTTCATGACAGCATTCTTCTGTGGGTTTCACTGTCACACAAATTGTTCATCTTCTGAAGTATAGCAGCAAGCATGCATTCACTACATAGACTGAAGCATTGTAACCTGAACATCACAAAATCCCTACGGATAACTCGATTAATAATAAATGCTTTAAAGATATGTGCCATAAGTGCATCTTCCATATCCTTCATAGCCACAAGTAATTCATTAAGGATCTCAGAATATCTCAGTGATCTGAAAACGAATAATTATTAAGACTGGTATAACTTATACAACAGGTGTCGTAGTTGTAGGATACAGCTGCTAGCTACTAATCGACAGAAAGCTGGTACTAATTTTAAGTAGTCTGACATTTTAGGAGGACCATCTATACTATTCTTCGTGACACGATACACACTGATATCAACATAATCTGATGCCATGTTATGCACTGAGCAATTACGGTCTTCTGAAATTCCATGTGCAAATGTAAATTAAACTAGTATCACATCTTCGCCTGAACAATTTTAACTAGGAACTTCATCAAAATAGATATAATCACCAGGAAATTCAACAGCCTGTCTCATTCATCGTATGATCTCTTCGATGTATTATGGAATATTTCAGTCATTACAGATGATAACAGAAGTGTTTAGCATCCTCAAAACACACATCTAACTTATGTATGTGGTCTATTTCTCTTTCAAATGCCCGATTGTCATAGAATAACTAGGATGACAACAGCCATTGCCTTTAGTCAGTTTAAAAACCTTAAGGTTTAAAACAACTCTAAAATAACGAAGCTTTGAGGCTCTAAAAAGCAAATAATAGTCTTTCTATGCGAAGTTTCTTAAAGAGGATGACTTTTTTAATTAATAATTCGTCTGGGCTATCAAGACAATCTTACGCATTACTACGAACACAATACTGCAAAATATTGATTTTTTCGGCTACAGAAGCCTAAAACTAGTCAAATATAGTTTATTTTCACAAAACTGAGCGATTATAACGCCTATATAGGAGTGAACGCGATAACCCATACACTGCGCGCAAACATATCGTCATAACGTTTAGCCTCACCCCTTATTCCGATGGTGTATTGATTTAAAGTGAGCGGTATATTTGTTTCATTCTTTCAGCAGTACCACCTTAGGGTACCATCAGAGGTGAACTGTACTTCGTACTGACGAAT